CCCGAGTGGGGACCTGCAGGCCTCGCGTCCGCCCCGGGGATGTCCGGGCAGCCTGCCTGCCCTGCCTGCCTCGCCCACAGCGCCCCGGGACCCAGGAGCTGGCGTGGAGCAGGGGAATGCCCCTGGGCCCAGGGGGTCCCCAGTAGGGTCAGCATGATGCCCCTGGGGCTAGGGGATGTCCCACAGGGTCGGAATGATGTCCCTGGTGTTAGGGGCCGCCCCATATGGTCAGCATGACGTCCCTGGGGTTAGGAGATACCCTATGGTGTCAGGATGATGCTCCTGGTGTTAGGGGATGCCCCATAGTGTCAGGATGATGCTCCTGGGGTCAGGGGATGCCCCATAGGGTTGGACGATGCCCCGGGGCCAGGGGATGCCGGGCAGCAGGTAGGATGGGGCAGTTCGGGTGTCTGCATGGGGCAGCAGAGGAGGGGCCGGGGGGCACAGCCCGAGCCCTGGGCAGGACGGAGTGAGCTCTGCCCCACAGCCCTCGGCAAGAGGAGAGGAAGGGGTGAGAGCCTGGGGACTCCGAGGACACCGACACCCCCCCCCCCTCAACCCTGCCACCCCTTTGGGGAGCTGTGCCCCAAAGCCTTGGGGTAAGGGGGCTGCTCCAAGCCCCCCCCTCTTTGGCCAGGCCAACGCCGAGCTGGCATCATCCCTGTGCCGGGCAGGGATGCTCGGGGCTGGGGCAGGACCCTGGCCCGCAGCGGGGCCCCCGCGGCCCCTCACCCTGGCTCGCCCCGGTCCAACGCGCCTGCGCCCGGCGGGCCGGGCTGCCGACAGCTGGCGGGAAGGAGCCTTCCCAGCGCATAGCGACAAACTCCTGGCGGGCAGGGCTGCTTTGCGGCCGCCGCGGCCTCGGCGGGGGGAGCTGCCCTGGAAAGAGGCAGATTAAAAGCTCTTTGGCTCCGGCGGCGCATCCCAACTGGTCCCCTCGCACGGCCACCTGCTCGGCTCGACACCCCAGGATGCTGCCGGACACCCCGGGGTTGGGCCAGAAGGGGATGCTGCCACCCCCCCACTGGCCCCGGCCAAGTCCCGGGGGCCCCGCATGGAAGGCTCAGCCCTGCCTGGGAATTGCTTCATTAATTAATTTGCTCTGCAGCATCACGGGGGACCTTGGGCTGCCCCAGGAACCAGCTCGTCCCTAGGGACCATCCTCCTCCTCTGCAGCAGCAGTCCCCCGGCCCCCCTCTTCTCCC